TGTCTTCTTTCGATCATTCACTGCCTCAAAGTATGGAATTATTTCTTTTCATATGCTGGCTTATCTTTGGAGGGATTAACCTTGCATCAAGCTATTGTGAAGTGTTGGACAATGAAGGTAATTCCTAGACTCAAACCTATTTTTCAAGCATTACCTAGTATCATTGTGTGGGAGCTATGGAAAAGAAGAAATAGTAATAAGCATGGAGAGCCAGTGACTACTAATCGAGTGGTGTACCAAGTTTGCACTACTATCCAGTCTCTCATCAAGGTGAGAAAGCCAGGAATAGTTCAAATGCCATTTAGATGGCGAGATATACTTAGAATGATGGAGAATTACACTCCTAGGCTGAAGATAAGCAAGGTTCTATGGGAGTTTCCTATACATGGATGGACAAAAATCAACACAGATGGAGCTTCAAGGGGTAATCTAGGGAGGAGTTCAATTGGATTTTGCTTGAGGAATGAGCATGGTGACTTGATGTATGCGTGTGGTAAGGAAATCCAGCAGGTGACAAACACTCAGGCAGAATCGATGGCAATACTGGAGGCTTTGAACTATTGCGTAGATAATGAGATTTCTAACATATGGTTGCAAACTAACTCTATGTTGCTCAAGAATGTGATTGAGGGGAATTGGAAACCTCCTTGGGTCATAGAGGAACAAGTGGATGAGATAAAACAATTGCTTGTCATGTGCAATGGTAGAATAACTCACATTTTTAGAGAGGGAAATAAGCTGACAGACCATTTGGCAAATTATGCCCTTGATCAAGGAATCATAAAATGTCATGCTTTCCACCATCTTGATTCACAAGGCAAGAGATTGATTAATGGAGATAAACTTCAATGCCCATATTTGAGGGTCAAGGTATCGAGGCAGTAAGAGAGGAGATGGAGAGGATTTCGAGGATATGGATAAATGAGCTGGTGCACAAACAGAATCAACATCATCGAATCCTTATGGAGGAGATGGTGTTGATCACTTTTTTCACTAATCTTATGTTCTTTTTTGCAGGAAAAGTTATTGTGCCCATGCCTTACTTTAATCTTCAATTTCAATGGGTGGTATTAGTATTCTGTACTCATTCCCTTGAAAGAGAAATTACAGTATGCACAAGCATGGAAATGATGGATCAAAGGAGCACCTTCAAGAGAGGACTGCCCATAATGATATGTGGCAGGTTCATGTTTTGGCATCAAGAATTGGGACTGTTGTGTCACATTTCATCCCAAAAATGGTGCAACACAAATAATATAACAACACAAGGCTGTAGATCAAAGGATTTCAGTAGCAAACAAGACAGCATCACATCTGTGCACACTCTTTTGACACTGGATCATTATGGTCGAATCCTAAGGGAGAAGATCCTACTGATCGTTTTTACTACTAACAATATGTTCTTTTTTGCAGGAAAAGTTATCGTGCCCATGCCTTACCATGATCTTCAATCTCAATGGGTAGTATTAGTACTTTGTACTCATTCCCTTGAAGGAGAAATCATGGTATGCACAAGCATGGAAATGATGGATCAAATGAGTAATTTTGACAGAAGACTGCCCAGAATTTTGGTATATAGCAGATTCATGTTGTGGCTTCGAATATTGGCATTATGGAAGGTAGTGGAAAGTCACTGGTCAGTTCATTTTGGTCACAATGAATCCCAAAAATGGAGCAATACAAAGAATATAACAACAAAAGGCTGGAGGTCTCAAGATTTCAATTGCAAACAGGACAACATCACGTTTGTGCACATTCTGTTGACACTGGATTTTCCAGGTTTAGTAAAAAAGGAATTCAAGTGGATGATACAGTTATGGAAATTAATTATACATGTCTATGATGTGAAACAAACATCATATACAGGGAGCCAAGCAAACATTAGCACAACAGAATTGGATTCTCAAGAAGATCACACAAGAGATCACTATGATCAGATCCAAATGGGAGAGAACATCGTGATCAGGTTTTATTCTGACGTCGTTTACTTTTTTGCAGGAGACGATACTGTCCTATGCCCTATCCTTTGAGGAAATCCCAGTTGGTGGTATCAGTACTATGTACTCATTCCACTGGGAGGAAATCAAAGATAGGCACAAGCATAGAAGAGAGAAGCTGGAGGACAGTACAGATTATTGACAGGAGCTGGAGGTGGAATTTTTCCATCATTCATAGATATGTCCTAGGTTCTAAAATACACAACAGTAGCTATACTCTAGAGTTACAAGGTAGGGACATTCAAATAGGCAATTATAATAGAAGGCTGCCCAGATATGTCATGTATCACGTTATGGCAGACATGCACATTTGGCAATTAAGAATGAGACTATTAGATGGGTTGAGGAGGCAGTACCATACAAACGTCATCAAGGTGCTGCTGGAAAGCATATGTTTTTGTCAAGAAAAACGCAACACTAAAGGATGTACAGAACTGGTACAACAGAGGAAAATAGCAGGTGCAAGGGAGTTGGCTGTGTGCTATCACATTGCAGGTTATTTAGCGATTGATGATCGAAGGTTATTGAGCTGGATAGGATATTGCTGGGCAGACATGGAGCAAAATGATCAACTCACTAGGCAAAGACGACCACAATTCTGGACAATTGAGTATCTACTTATCATGACATTATAAGCGCTAGTTTTTATTCATGAACTTTTATACATTCCTAGACTTCTTTACAAAGTATTACTAGTTCAAAATGTACTACCTTAATTAAGTATAACCTGCTCAATTTAGGTAATAGGACCTATGTCTTTACAGTTGGTATGACTCTTCATCACATTGTTTTATTTTTGTTTTATTTAGATATATATAAAAACTAGCCCTAGGCACTTGCCTAGTGGATTGCCAAAAAAAAAAAAAAGAGTTCCATAACCCTAGAACTAAGAAGTTTAGCTACGTATAATCGTGATAGGAAATCCGTTACAGTTCCAATAATTCATAAAATTTAAGAAAGAAAAGAGAGAAATTAATCACAGGATAAAGCCATAAATTGTACATTAGATCCGTCCCTACTTCTGATCAATGACGACTTTCGAGTGTTTCTCAAATGAAAATTGCTTAAATTAGGAATTTCCAAAGAAAACAAACAATTTTATACATAGGTTAGGATCGAAACTCTTGAAAAACATAAAAATTCATTAAATAAAATTCATGAATTTGTGAATCATAAGAGAAAATACATTCTTCAAATTAATAATCAGAAAGGTGTGAAATACATATCCCTCATAAGATCAAAGAAATACATCATATATTTATTGTCTTCAGAAATGGGATTTGGAACACCTGGAGTCATGAGATAACGCTCACACACGAATATAGGATTTGATGCAGCCTGAGCCGCTAGATCAATATTACCGTTTACGAGTACGGTTTCAATCAAATTCCGGAATTCTGATTTCAAAAGATTATACTGATGAAGACACTTCCTGTAAATTTGCTTATATTCTGGATTTGTTTCATTTGCAGTAATTGTCCAAACTTTCCTGTGAACAGTTTGGTAGTTGTCTTGTGCCAATCTAAGTGTAATGTATTCAAGATCAAGCTTAGTTTTTGCCCAAGGAGCCACTGGATCATTTTCCATAATATTATAACAAAAATCTCTTACACCAGTGTTTTCACAAGCCTTTTCAATTAGTGGGGTGACAGCATTTGCTCTTAAATTTCCACCAAATAGATCAACACTTAACACAAAAATCAAGACTAGTGAAATTGATGAAGAAGTAGAAGTTGATCTCCCCATCTTTTTTTCTCTCTCTTTGATATATCCCAATTTCTTTGTTTGAGATTATATATATATATTAGTTGGTTTGATATATAAAATGTAAAAATTTAATTAGTACCATATCTAGAAGTTTTCTAGAAAAGTTAATACTATTATGTTTTTACTTATTACAAACTTAAATATCTGACTCATATTTAATATTGGATTATGATATTCTAAATTTGTCATCGTTATAATAGTCAACATCTTAAATTGATATATGCATTTAATTTTGTAACCCGTTTGAGATCACACAAAGGGATATATGCAAATGCTAAACGAAATATTCTCAAATTTTTCAAATTAAGGAGGCTGGTGATCTTATGTATAATTAATAAGATTTTAAGACATATAGAGAATGAATGCAGTTGCTTAATTAAGATTCCCGCTATCTGTCAGATTGTGATAATCCTCACTTATATTATTCTATGGACTATTCATTTTCAATATCTTTTCTAGCAAGTTGTCCAAATTCAAGACAATTGCCTAATTTTCGAATAAAATAAGTTTCACGGGTTTATAATTACTTTAAATTTATTGTTATAAAGTCATAATACTATGCAAACGGAAATAATACTCAATAATATTAAAGGATGCATTCAAGAATATTACTTTTTTATTTTTGAACAGTATTTTCAAAAGTTTTCTTATTAGGACTCGCCTCGGGACTCGGGGCGAGGCAAAATTAAAATGCCCCAAGGCTTACATGTGAAGCTTAGTTCAGTGAGACTTCCACAAGCGCCCGATTGTGCACCCGAAACATGCCTAACGCTCTTCGCTCGAGGTTCGCTTAACAATTCCTTGCGCAAATCAAGCATCAAATTCCCTAATTAGCATTCTTGACACGCAAATTTCTGTAACAAAAGAATGATTAAAGTTTATTCTATCTATAGAAACATGAAGATTGAGAATAACTCAAAATAATGAGTCAACATATATTTACTATTGAGACATCGGAAATTGAGTCACTACAACAAATTTGGCCTAAGGCCACACTTTTATAGACAACACTTGAAAAGTGTTGCCAAAAATATATGTGGGGACGCTTTATTAGGGGTGGCCTTTATCAAGCACTTTTGGATACAGATTTTAGGCAACACTTATGAAGCGTGCCTTTTAACAGTAAACACTATACTTTTCAAGTGTTGTCAAATAATAAAACAATTAGCTACGCTTAATCAAATATAATACCACGTTTACGAGGGGTGGTAATTTAACTTTGTATAAGCTACTCCATATAAGTGTGCTCTAACAATTTCCTAAAAATTCCCGCTAAAACTTTTCCCCTAAATCCTTTCCCTCCCTAAATCTTTTCTGCCCCAAAAAATAATTATGCCCAAAAATATTCCACTAAGTTAAGTTTTACCCAAATTATTCCCGTACTTCTTCTTCCCTAAAACATGGTTCTTGTCATCTAGTTAAGCAGATTAGGGTAGATTTTGTGAAAATTGCTGATGAAGATGCTTGATTTCTTCTAATTGCTCTTCTCAAGAGTCAAAACCCTCTTATTTAGGTTTCAATTGGGAAGTTCGTTTGCTTAGGGTTGCAACTGCTATAAACTTGTAAGTTTTCTATGAAATTTTTGCTTTCCGTTTAATAACTTCTTTCCGTTCATTGTTAAAAATACTTCTGACCAAAAACTTTGGCCAAACGTTGTAGTCTTGTTCTTTCTTCTCTATAAATGTGGATATTGCATCTGGTTTACGGTCCGGATTAGTTATGACAAGTTTATGTCATTTTTCTTTAAAACTTTTACGTATGTCTTAAGCAAATAGATAGGTCACGAAAACGAGTATTGTGGCAGCAAATAATCCTTGACCCTTGAAAATATCTTTTACATTTTGTTCAACTTTTACAAAATTTGTCCGGCTGAATACCTAGTATTTAAACTTCAACATAGAGTATTAGCATAGTATGGATTATGGATTTATCTGATATATCGACGTCGTGATGATACTTGTGAAGTTAGAAAATTGCTCAAAAAAGAAAAGAGAAAAAAAATAAAGAAATTATCATGAGACAAGAATCAGGGGCATAAATGAATTGTGAATGTCAATAAATGAGTTCAATTTTGAGATCTCTAGTGCTGCTGTTGTACTTTAAAAAGAATAAAAAATGTTCCTAAAATGTGATTTAAAATTGATGATAGACCTTTGTAGTCCCACCCTTCCCGCGCATAGCGAGAGCTTAGTGCACAAGATTGCCCTTTTTTTATGCTTGACAAATTGAGATTCTCTTACACTATAATCTACCGAGTTTTTCAATTAAATCTCCTCAGTTATCAGTGGCCCTGGTGCATGTGTAATGCTTCTAAATATATGGAATATTAACTGCATTGTATCTTGATTGTTCGGGTAATTATCATCGTTTCTTTCCTCAGTACATGCTTATTTGTTATTTCTTGGCCATAGGTGAAGTCAACGACAATTGAACTGTCCAATTGGCAACAACAGTAATCTAGCTTCTGATTGGTAAGCCTTTTCTAACTTGCATGTCCTCTAGAACTATAATTCATGTTAATGAACTGAATTCTTTAGGAGTCGATCTTTTTATCCATTCTTATAGTTTAAAAGAACGTTATTCCTAATTGAAATGTTAACTTCTAGCTTATTCAATTTGTTTGATGCTCCGACCATAAGCTTCTTTCTATTGTCTGCATTCCGTTTTCTCCTCGAAAAGTAAAAAGATGCATATTCTTTTAATATTGTAGGGAAAGAAATGACTAGATGAATATATGAAACGGAGTTCCTGTTTCAAGTTGTAACCTTTGTTCTCTTATTGTTGATTTTGTAAGGAGATGCTTTATAGTTGGATTTGCAAGACCATAGTCTCGTTGGCTTGTCTCCTTCATTCTGTTTGGCCCTTCCGACTCTACAATCAAAGCTTTATAGTTGTCATGTTTCTAGTATATTAACTTCCAATGGAAACTCTTAATATGGTAATGCAGAATTATATAAAATATTATTATAATATGTTGCGGTGCTGACAATTAAAATGTGTATTTGATGTCTCTGTTGTGCTCGTCCGTTTGTAGATTGATGCAGATATGCATACTTGTTGCAGATTTTTGAATCATGAAGCTGATTTTGATTGTTGATGAGTTAATGACTTAATTCCATTTATAACCTCAAGAAAACTGAATGAGACTGTCCGTGGGACCAAAAATGGTGTGGCATATAAAGTTTGCCTTTAGTAGTGGTTATAAAGATGTACTAAATCTTTATATGGTTTCATAAGCTAATACACAACTAGATGCTTAATTATCCGAAAATGTATCTTTAACATCTTTCTTTGTAAGTCTAGACCAACTCGCCTGCACCTCAAAAATAACTTTAACTTCCTCATTTAACCTTTAATAAAAATGAAAGACGCCATTTTCAGTTGTTAGATCGATCACAAAAAATAACAGAATATTAGTCCTTGCACCCATGGGAGCCTATCTTATTCTCTGGTACCAAACTCGTTTATTTTTTACTGAAATCATTGATGTCAAAGTCGACTACTGCTCCCGCAACCTATCCCCTTAAATGTATCTTTAACATTGATGTGCAGAATACTGTGCAGAAAGCAGAAAATTCTACAGTGTTTCTGTGACTCTGCACAATTTTTCTGCATTTTCAGCATTTCTGCACAGCGTTTCAGCATTTCTGCACAGCGTTTCAGCAATTCTGCACAATATTCTGCACATCATTTTGGCAATTTTTGCGTTTCTGCATAGTTTTTCTGTGTTTTCTGCATTTATGCACATTATTTTTGGATTTCTGCACAGTGTTCTACATTTTTGCATAGAGTTTCAGCAATTTCTGCATTTCTGCATAGCGTTTCAGCATTTTTTGCACAATATTTATGCATTTCTCTGCTGCGTTTCTTGAGTTTCTGCATTTTTGCAAAGCAGTTCTGTATTTCTTCAGCGTTTTAGCATATTTGCATAACGTTTCTGCATATTACTTCTGCGTTTTCTGCATTTCCGCACACTAGTAAGCACCCTCCACTAGTGTTGAAGTATATACTGGGTTGTTGTTGTTGTTTTTTATTTGCTAAGTTTTAAAATGTTTTTGTCAATTAATTTTTTTTCTAAGTTGTCATCTTGGTTCTTTGATCAATGTTTAGTGATATTTTGTTTCATCTTAAATTTAGGTTGCTCGTTCTGCAATTTCATCCTCTTCAAGAAGCACACATTAGCAAATTTTATTTAAGAGCGCAAAACAGAGAAATACACTTTACAAGGTTAGTTAAGTAATACCTAATACGTTTCTATACAACCATATGGTTTTTCTGCTAATATTATCTTGAATATTTCAATAGAGTGGAGCTATGTTTTCATGTATAGATAACATGATAATTTTTATATGTATAGCTTTTGATAATTTTAAAGTCTCTGCTAGAATATGTATGGCATCACAAGCACACCAATGCTTCTATGTACAAGATCCATACGATCAAGACAAACATTATGTTATGAAGACTGTCCCGAGAGACTTGTTTAACGTAAGTGACCAATTTGAATCTGATGTTCCCTACTGTTATGAAAATGAGCCATATGAACATTCGATGAGCCCAACTATACCGAATGATGATGGTGATGTTGTCTTAATAAGGAGTGACGTACCTACAACCATAATTGATGTGCCTCCAGAAAGATTTTGTGCTCAAGAAGTTGAAATTGAATTGGAAGATTAGTTTGATGTTGAGGATACATCATGAATTTGATTTTAATTTAGAAGTTGAATGCTTGTACAATGCTCATCTAGAAAAATAGTTCAGTTATTTGTTTGATTAACAACTAGAGAGACCTTAAAAACTCATGTTTTAGATGTCAAACTGATGGCATTTGTTTGTCGATGCTTTCTTTTCTATTCCATCTAGTTCTATTATTCATTTGTTCACTTCTTATGTTCTCTTCTCGATTTACTTTATATTTTCTAAGATTCTTTTTATAACTTAATTGATTGGTTGCTTTGGACCCTCTACTTTAAAAATCTAAAGCTTTTATTCTAATTTGGTTTCTTGAATCATTTGGTTATTAATATTGTTCCTCAAGATATTGTAAAAAATATGTTTCTTTTATTATTACCAGGTGGTTCACTTCTAACTGAGGAAGGTTGTGGAGTAGCAAAAATTGAGGAAACATACAGATATTGAGCAGGTATTTCGGATTTTTGAATAGGAAATCTATACTTTTTTTTTGCATTTTTGCACTGTATTTCAGTATTTCAGCACATCATTTCAGTGTTTCTGCTTTTCGGCATTCTTGCACGGCGTTTCAACATTTTTTTAACTTTTGCACAGTGTTTCAGCATTAATGCACAGTGTTTCTGTGATTCTGCAGTGTTACAGCATTTCTGCACAGTGTTTCTGTGATTCTGCAGTGTTACAACATTTCTGCACAGCGTTACAGCATTTCAACATTTCTGCACAGCGTTTCAGCACATCATTTAGGCAATTTCTGCACAGTTTTTCTGTGTTTTCTGCATTTTTGCACAGTTTTTCTGTGTTTTCTGCATTTCTGCACAGTTAGTTTTGTGTTTTCTGCATTTCTGCACATTATTTTTGGATTTCAGCACAGTGTTCTGCATTTGCGCATAGATTTTCGGCAATTTCTGCGTTTATGCACAGCGTTTCAGCATTTTCTGCTTTCTGCACAACATTTCAGCATTTCTGCACAGCGTTTCAGCATTTCTGCACAACATTTCAGCATTTCTGCACAGCGTTTCAGCACATCATTTAGGCAATTTTTGCGTTTAGGGCTGTGTTTGGGAAGGAGCAGCCTGGTCGAATACGATGCTATGGTAGATAAGTGACAACATGTTCTCTGAAAAAAGATGAGGAAATCAATAAGCTCCAACAAAAGCATAACAATGAAGTCTCTACTTTGAAAGCAGAAATGCAAGAAATGAGTCAAGAAATGCAAGAGTTGAGGCAAATGCGCCACTGCTTTAATCTACTGGTGAAAAACAATCCTGAACTTTTTAGTTCAGATATATAAGGATTTGTCGAATCTAACCAACCTTCTCCGGTTGATGCAAGTAGCGCACAAGCTGTAAGGGGCCAAAATCTCCCACATTCTTCTGGATCAAACCATGGTCCAATTCTTGAAAAGGTATGTAGACTCATACCTGACAAATATTTCATCTGCATATAATAGTAAAGATTAGCACAATCCAATCTGCATATAATTGTAGTAATAACCAGTGGCTGGAGGAACAAAAGTAGACCTATTGTACATCATCTGAGGTTGTTGCATTGGATGCATGTTTTGCAAATTCATCAGCATTGACGACGGGTTGTACTGCTGATGACCTGCGTTTAAACCATTAGTTGCTGAAGATCCTTGTATAACATTACTCGGATGAACTTGAAATCATCTATTCCCATTAAGTTGGAATTATTAATGCCTCCGCTCAAAATAGCAGCAACATTATTGTTAGTCCCATTCCCTTGAAAACAAGCAAGATTGATATTTGAACCACCCCCTAATTGTGCACTATTCATATTCATTTTCAAGGAAGCCATTATATTTGGATCAATTACTTTCATTGCCATGCATGTTCTGATTTGGACTTACTACTATCTTGCCAGCATTAACATTTCATGCTTAGGTTAACATGATCATCTGGAAATTTTTTTTAGCCTAGTTCCTTAGTTGTTTGCTGCTGTGAGTTTGTCATATTCACTAAGTATTTAGCTTCTAACTATTTGTCCCAGTCCTTCTCCTAAAAAAGTTTTCAGTTTTATTTAGTTAGCCAACTACTTGGTGTTTCACTTTTGACATGTCAACCATGAATCTTTGNCAAATGCATTTTGATAATGCCCATGCTCAAACCAGGAAGCTTGTTAACCATGGCTTCTTTGAATGCCATTACTTTACTAAATGCTTAGTTTTGTAATTAATCGACCCTATCGTCTAACCAAAACCGAAAGGGAACGTCGTTTTACGTTAAACCAAGCTTGGTAACCATGGCTTCTTTCGAATGCATTTTAAATAATGCCTCCTCTCGCCAGTAGTTGTAGCTAACAATCGACTACCATACCCCCCCCCCCCCCCCCCGATAAAGCTAATAATTCTTGTTAAAAACATTAAATCGTGAATCTTGGAAGCTGTAGAATCATGTTGTACGGGACGGAACTATCTTTTGTGATTATGCAAAATATGGGGTGAGTGTTTAGGTCAGTGAAATGGGACTACTATATTTTGTTTATTGTCCTTATTAGTCAATTTTTATTTATATATGACTGAAAAATATGCAAGACATGGTGCTACTATATGCTATCCTAGTCTTTGTTCTTCTAGACGAACGATTAAAGTTTAGTTTCTGTCTAATTATTAATTTCTTTTCATGTGTAGGAGAAAGCGGATGATGCAATTGGAAATGGTGTCGGAAAGTCAATTTGATCTTAATGTGAATGCGAATAATTTTTGGATAATTAAGATGTCATTCATGATACTATATGAATATACTCACTTTTGAAAAGTTTATTGTTAATGAGCATTTTGACACACTGTTTTATTAGTATGTGTATTCATTTGAATTATTATTTTTGGTATTTATTAGCTAATTTAGTTCTTTATATCATCAAAATATATGATAATAATGTATAAGCTTGAAATAATTGTAATTACATGCTATAAGTAAAATATTTTTTTTAAAATAAAAAATAAATTGTATAGCCTAGCCAAAATTGCAACGCTTAAAAGTGTGGCTATATGTCTGTACGTCTACCAAAGACCACATTTTCTAGGGGTTCCTTTAGAAGCCACGGTTAACAAGTGTGTCCTAAAAGGTAACAAAGATCACACTTTTTGTGTGTAGCGGTAGGGTGTAAAAGCGTTGCCATATGGGGTGTAACAAGCGTTGTCTTTGTTAACTAATAGGCCACGCTTTTAAGCGTGGCTTGTAAGGCAACATTTGAAAAGCGTGCTCTTAGGTCAAAGGTTACGCTTCTTTTGGCCACCCCAGAAAAGCGTTGCCTAAAGTCGAAAAGTGTGGCCTTTGACCAAAGGCCACACTTTTTGCTAGTTTAGGCCACACTTTTTCGAGGTAGTCAAAGCCTAAAATGTTGTAGTGAGTATCATTTTAATAGCCAAAATTCACAAACTTTTATTATTTTGCTATTTGAAAGCATTTATATTTACTCATGAGGAGTAATACTTAAACTATAATATTGATGGAGTTCATTGATTATTAACTCTTAAAGAGGTAAACCGTACAATCTGATAACTTTTTCAAATTATTGTAATCTTTTAGCCGTTTGAAGATAAGACGTTGTAGTTGATTTTTTATCTTATCGTAATGTTAAAACTATTGTAGTTTTATATTTTAAAAAAATGCTATATATTTTATTTTTGTGAGGTTAATAATTTTTTGTTTTAAGTTTCTTAAAATTTTAACGTACTTTATATATTTTCTGTGGTTATTTTGCTATTTTAGTAATTTATAAATTAAAAATTTAAAAAAATTTATGGGTCTTATGCTTCTTGTCTCGACACTTACACCTCGCTCTATGTTAAGTAAAACGACCCATCTCATTTCTCTGGCTCTTAAAACACTGTTTTTGAACCTATGACTTTACATTATGATTAATGCTTCTCTGACGCATTTGATCAATATAATTAAAGATTGGCTAAGATTTTTCAAAGAAAACTAACAATCGCTGCTAAAAAAATGCGGAATCTTGTCAGAAATTCGTTAAAACTGTACCCGTAGCAAACATTTCCATTGGAATTTTGCATCTTTTTAGCAATGAATATATATTGGCCAGGAACTCTTGTAAAAAACATAAAATTTCATAAAATAAAGATTATCATAAACTTGTGAATAATACAATCATAGGAGAAAATACATGCTTCCTATTCCAAAGGTATGGCTGAAATATCCCTAATAAGTTCAAAGAAGGAAGCCATATTTTCATTATCTTGAGCAAAGGGATTTGCAATATTTGGAGATTGCGTCAAATAATCCATACAAGTAAATAGATGAAGCTGTGCACCCTCAACCGCTTGAGCAATATTACCATTGAATTCCAAGGTATGAATTAAGTTCTTGAAATCTGATTTCAAAAGTAAATACTGATGAAGACAATTCTTATAAATTTGCTTAAATTCTGGATTTGTCTCGTTTGAAGTGATTGTCAAAACCTTCCTTGCAATGTTTGTGTAGTTTGTTTCTGCCAATACAATTGTAGTGTTTTCAAGACTGAACCTAGTTGTGGCCCATTGAGCATCTGGATCATTTCCCAAAACATTATAGCAAAAATCTTTTACATTAGAGAAATCACAAGCTGTTTTAATTAGTTGGGTGACAGCATTTGCTCTTAAATTTGCACCAAAAAGATCAACACTTAATAGAAAAATGTAGGGGAGGAGGAATATTAGTGAGAATATTGATGAAGAACTAGAAATTGATCTCCCCATTTGTTTTTCTCTCTGTTCGAAAACACTATAAACATGGTTATATATAGTTTGATATAGAAACGTATTTAATTTTCTTTATAATATGGATATTCTAGGTTTAGAAATTCTCTCGACCAGTTAAAGCACTAATAATGTTCTTGCTAATGTTTGATTCTTTTTTAATATGGAATTATGATCATCTAAATTTGTTGTAATATTTCCAAGCCATTTTGAGACCCAGAAATGGATATTATGCAAATGCTGATATGCACCAATTTCGGTAAAAGGCTGATCTCATAATTAGTCAGATTCTAAAACACATACGAAAATTCCCATAAAGTAAGGAGGAAACCTAAATAAAGTAAAGAGATTTTCACCTTCCCATAATATATATATATATATATATATATATATATATATATATATATATATATAACCTTTCCTAATTAAGTTTTAACTTAATTATATGGGTATATAATTATATACAAATTAATATTAATGAGTATCCTTTTATATTAGGAATTGTATTGTATAATGTGTGAATCGTTTTATGAAATTTATATTTAAGTTATAAATACTATCTTTTTACAAAAAATTTATTGATATGTATCAAAATTGTTTTAAAAGATGAAGTTTTGATTGGAATTTCAGAGAGGAAGAACACACCACATACAAAATATATACAAATCATATACAAAACACATATAAAAGAGATATTGTATAAATTTGTATGAAAATTATATTTAAGTTGTATGATATTGTAATTTTATCTAACTGGGTAGAAATGATGTATAAAAGTTGTGATAAGTTGTATACTATATAATTAGTTGTATGAAATTTATTTTTACTATGTATATTGTTATAGATATTTAATTTTGTATTAAATTTGTATGGAATTTATTTTTAATATGTATGTTGAAATTTATATTTACTGTGTAGTTGTAAATATTCAAATTTGCACTAAATTTGTACGAAATTTATTTTTAATCTTTTTTCCTCGAAGAGAGAGCTAGTCCAGTCAGAAACTCTGAAATAAGGATGCTTTCACTTCCAATTGTATAGGGTGCTGTCACGATCCGGAATTCCCACCCTCGGGAGTCGTGATGACGCCTACTAATAGGAGCTAGGCAAGCCAACTTAATTAACAATTTCATTAAACACATGATCCTTTTTAACAATTAACGACATTAAATAAAGGCGACAGAATTAAAATCATAGCGGAAGACTTAAATGTAGATAGATGATCAATAATACAGAAGTTCCAACACATATATCTCTACCCCGGAACTGGAGTCATATCCTCACGAACCACTAAGGAGTACTACATACAAAGTCTGAAAGAAACATAATCTGTTTATCTCGGAAACAATGAGATGACAGCCAAAGAGTAAAGATAAAAGGGAGACGCCGGGCCTGCGGACTCCTGCAAGCTACCTCGGGTCTCTTTGGACTGAAGGTTCGCCCCCGAGCTAAAGCTGCTGCTGCTGCTCAATACCTGGACCTGTGCAAAAATGCACAGAGTGTAGCATCAGCACAACCGACCCCATGTGCTGGTAAGTGCCTAACCTAACCCCGGCAAAGTAGTGACGAGGCTAGATTGGACTCCACATAAACCTGTGCAATTATAAATATACAACGAAAATCGAAGTACAAGGCAACTAACAGTATGGAGGGGGGGGGGGACATGTTGTGGGGAGATAACAAGATTAACAGTAAATCCGAAGTAATCAATCTAGGTGCAATTTACAATTTAAAGCGAACGAGAAACTAATACCAACAGTAAACACATTTGCATCAATAACTGTTGCGGCATGCAACCCGATCCACAATTATCGCTGTTGCGGCGTGCAACCCGATCCATAATTATCACTGTTGCGGCGTGCAACGCGATCCACAATTAACATTGTTGCAGCGTGAAACCCGATCCACAATTAACATTGTTGCGGCGTGCAACCCGATCCACAATTAACATTGTTGCGGCGTGCAACCCGTTCCACAATTTTCACTGTTGCGGCGTGCAACCCGATCCACAATTAACATTGTTGCGGCGTGCAACCCGTTCCACAATTTTCACTGTTGCGGCGCAACCCGATCCACAATATATACCTCTCAACCTTGCCCAAGCCACAGTCACAAATAAAGGGCAAGGGAGTAAACAAGTATTTGGAAAGAAATCCCAACAAGGGTACACAAATAACCAATAACAACCATGCAAGAGTAAATCATTATTTCTCTTTTTCTTTCATTTCCATATCCTAACTCTCATTAGCACTCGTGTCAAGCTCTAAGGCATTTCTCATTTCACATACCCTCACCATTTGTATTTCAGACCGAGCCAACGCTCCACGAAGTTCTACAATCACAATATCTTTCACAAGGTGTTTACCACGTATAGAAGCCATTAATAACATGGAAGGCATAACAATATCCAAACAACTCACATATAAGGACTCACGGTCATGCTAGACGCCAATGTATAGGAACTCGTCACCATGCCTATACATCGTACTCGATCATTTAGCAATTAGCAAACAAGACTCGACTCCTATTCCCTCAAGCTAGGGTTAAACCAAACACTTACCTCAACTTCCACGGCCAATACAATCCTCCACGACCGCTTTCCCTCTCGAATTCGGCTCCAACTCGACCAAATCTATGCAATAAGGACTTCATGATATCAATATGTGCTAAACAAATCAAACCCAATGACTAATTATAGCTTTTTCATCAATTTACCCCAAAAAGGTCAAAAATGCCCCCGGACCCACATGGTCAAAACCCGAGGTTCGAACCAAAACCCGTTTACCCATTCCCCCATGAACTCAAATATGTAAGTTATTTTGGAATCGGACCCCGAATTGAGGTCCAAAACCCCCAATTTTAGAAAACCTAGGTTCTACCCTAGATTCCCAAGTTCCCCATTAAAATCTTTGTTTTGAAGTTGAAATTATGTTTAAGGATGTTAAGGAGTAAAGAAAATCAGTTAGAAAACACTTACCAATCGTTTTGAAGAAGTGAAATCGTTTGGAAAATCGCCTCTTATGTTTTGGGTTTTGAAAAAGTGAAAAATGACTAAAATCCCGACTTTATATACTGTGCTGAAGACTGGCGCGGACCGCACAAAAATGCACCGCGGCCGCGTCGAGGAAGGGAAGAAAAATGACTCTCTGAACCTACCCAGCGCGGACCGCACTGATTTGGTGCACGGCCGCGCTGGTTGA